CAAGTTAATATAGTTATATAAAAAAATATATAAATAACTATGTAAATCTACATTGGGTTTATAAGTTTTTATTAAATTTAATAAAAATTCTACATAACTTTTATGTAAAAATTTTACATAGGTTTATGTAAAAAATACTTTTTAATGTTGTAATCAAGTCGGTAAAATATTGCGTTTTTTAATAACAAATTACGTCTTATTTGAATACAAATTGAAGTTTATGCACTACTGTGTCAACCAGCGTGGTAGCATATGAGAGTTGCAGTAGATATTACAGAATAGATGTAACCATCTGGATATGCGGTCCCACCTAATAATTACAATATATAATAAAATGCTGTAAATAAAAGAAGCGATGATGTCTAATATATTCTTGATTATTTAACTTAACATCCTGAGCTCGGGGGTGATATACCACCCTGCAAGAATGAGAAATGTAAGATTTGAAAATGCTCCTTATCCTGTGGTTTTCTGTTTATTTTTTGATATAGAAACGCTTATAATATATGATAATTACATTAACAAAAAGAAGTTCATAAAAGAATTTTTCGTTGGGTCAGATGATGGTACTGTACCAATAATAGTTATGGTCATTGTTGAAGTATCGTTTGGAAGCGTGGATATAACAATAATTTCACTACCAAATCTAAATTGTCATGGTAATGAAAGAATTACGTATGATTAAAATCCGAATGTAGACATTCTCTATTTGACGAACTTCGTTTTTTTGAATACACTCTACCCTCGTTATAGCGGACCCCGTTAAAATAGACCTATCGTTATAGCAGAGTGATTCTTCAGAACAGTTTAAATAATGTCACTACTATATAATACTATAGCAGATATTTACTATAACAGTTGGATCTTATTAGACCGAGTAATCCGTAATATGAGGCTAGAATATAATCCAAGACTAATACAATGCAGGTTCAACTCATAATTTCGATCAAAATTGGTCGTAACTGATTAAAAGTATTAAAAAAAATCATTACATGCCTCTGAAAACTAATATAGCCACGGCTGAAAAGGGATACGAGGAGAAATCTTCTTTATGGTTAAAATATACGCTGCGAACTTGATCTAATAATCACAATACAACTCGCAATGTATCAAAATAAGTATAATATAAGTACAAATGTAACTTACAAATACTCCATTTACTACTGCTAGTAATATTACATTTATACAAGAAAAATCCACCAGAATATAACTTAAATTTAAAAACACTTCCGGCCGGAATAGTAAAATTGCTCGGAATATAGACACCATATGGATAGTCTTAATTTATAATACCAAAAGAATTATTGTTATTCATAGTAATGGGTCAATGATATCAACAGGATTTACCATAATTTCCAATTGAAGTGGGAACCTCATGCTGCATAACAGCAAGCAAAGTATAATTAGGATCAAAAACAACTTTGCGGAAATCTTACATTTTTGCGAAAGCGACAAAATATCCTAGATTTAGCGTAAATTATTAATAATATAGGAC